TCGGAATTATGAATTATAACGTTTTTGTTCGAGGGAAGGTCCGTTTGAACCGTCTTTTCCTTGCTCTCTACACACTGAGATTTAGTCAAGTCTATAAGATTCTTTACTAGTTTTACATCAGCGACGTTTGGCGCTAGAAAATTCAAGAGTGAGTTGTTTTTGATTCTGATGTCCGGCCTAACTACCGAGGTGTTCTGAACAAAGTTCTCTGTTGCCGTTGCGATGTTTGAGTGAGTTACAGGTTGAACTGAAGTTTCTTCATCGGAGAGAACAATAAAATCAACTAAAGGGTGTTTATCCTGTTGTTCGAGAGCGGGAGCTTCTTCCAATGGTTGAAGAGCTTGTTCTGGTTTGTTAGGTTCCTCCGTAGTTTGTTCTTTTAAGTTAATTTCTAGTTCTTCTCTTTCCAAAGATGGTAAGGGTGGGAAATCCATGAAAGCACCCTTGTATTTCTCTCGTACCTTTCTATTAAAGTCGATTTTTTCTATTTTCACAACTACGCCAGCGTTCATGATTCTCTTCATGTGACATTCTTGGTCGATATGGTTTTGTTTGCTCTCCAACGTTTTAAATTTGAGCTTACAGAACTGGCATACCATGTGTTTACGCGAGTGTCGTTTTAGGTCAAATATTGTTGAGTGAACGCTACCGCACACACTACAAATGTGTAGAGTTTGAGATTTTAAAGTTGTTACAGTAGGAGTCAGTCCTAAGGACTCAATAAAATCGGGTTTGGCAGTAGAAGCTGAAGTAGTGAACCTATTGATAGTATGGCTTCCTTCAGGCGACGGCATAACAGCTACCCCAGATAAAACTGCCGCTGGCTGTTCTACAGATTTTAGTGGTATTACCGGTTGTAATAATTCAGTCTCTTTTACTACATTTTCTACTTGTGCTTGTGTTTTAACCACTGCGTCTACATGCTCGGAACCAATAACTTTATCAATCACTTGGTCAGAACATCGTTTTTCTTTATTAGGCGGCGCAAGCTGATCTTTCTTTTCCGAAACGGACCTCCTTCTTTTATTTTTATCGACAGAAGAACAGACATAGTCGCTACATGAATTTCGTCTGTTATCGCCATCATTTATTCCTAACAGTTTCTTGCTGATCTTCAGCGGTGCCACTGTCTTCTGCTTTGGTACCGTGGTTCTCTTTTTCGCAATATTGTTGACTTTGGGGCGAGGCCGATAAATAAATTTGCGCATGTCTAATTTGGCAGATCTAAAATACTGTTCTACCTCGCCCATAGCGAGTGAAACTATCGGAGCCATGTGATCGGCAAAACACTTTTTGGGTAACTTTAAATGAGGATATGTTTTGTATATGTCGGCCACCGAAGAGTGAAGTTCTCTTTTTCTTTTCAAATTACTGGAAACTTCAGGTTTAGGCACGGGCGGAGACATCAACTCTTGCTTCATCTGTCTGCCCAAAGCTTTTCGTTCTGTTCTATCTTTTTTGATCGTGATACACGTATTTGGTACTTTTATACCATTAATTAACAGCCTAACACATTTTTCCTAAAAAAATATTACTACAAAAATATAATATTAAAACTTTAATGTGGACAAACCTTTAACACTGTGTCTTGCTTTATGGCAATCTTCCTAAACTGAAACATCTTGAGAGTTAAGTTGAAACAATTTTCACAGATACTCTTTGAAACCATGTCGGTCTCCGATATCTGTAAAGAAAAGGGTCTATAATTTTTTTCACTATTGTAGGTACAAGTATTAGAAAAATGAAGGACAATAAAGGAGGTAAATAGGCATTACTTTTTTAATTTATATTTTTTGCAAACTAATTAAACCAAAATTTGTTTAGACATTATTGGAAATCAGTTGGCCTCTTTAATTTTTCTACCTCCTTAAAACAGTTACATAAGCTATCCAGGCACCTTTCTTAACCAATCTCGTATTTATAAATGGGCTTTTTTCACAATATTTTTTGCTTAACCAATCGAAACGACAACTAAAAAATAATAGACCTACAATAAATTATAATTTGATTTGCATGAATGATACCTCAAAAACACCTACAAACATTTATTACGCGAGAACGGGGCGAGGCCAAACCGAGGGCCAAACGCTACATCACATGACGACAGAGCCACGGCGATCGCAACTGACAGGGTTTTTTGCGAGACACCGTGTGCAACCTAGGAGACGGAAAAAGTGATGAAGAAATACAAAATTTATAATGATGGAAAATGAAAGGAGCAAACGGGAGACTAAAGCTTTTTAGTTTGCTCTTTTTATTTTCCATCCTTATTTTTCATTTCCTTATCATTTTTCCATCTCCTAGGTTGCACATGGTTTCTTGGTTGCTTCTTGGTTTCTGTTTTTTGGGATCGTTTTCATCGCTTCCTGATTCCTTACCGTACTGATGAAGCCTGAAGACAGTAGCACCAGTGTACACTAGTGTAGGTATGTTTGTGTGAGTGCGTGTGGGCGCGTGTCTGCATTAGTGTACACTAATATATACACTCGATACAACGGTATACATACGGTTGCGAGTTGCTGAGGGCTAGGTCGTTTAATAATTTTATCCTTCTTTTTTATATATTTCCATTTCCATTATTATATGGCAGTTCATATCAAATAAATTTTTAGTCACGTGATTAAGCTTGACCGGCACAGCGTTGCCCACTTTTACATATTTTTTTTAATCAAAATATTTTAGGTAACAAAACTAAATCAATTATAAATATAAAAACAGTTATTATTTACATCAAAAAAACTCACCTCTTGAATAGCCCTTAAGGGACATAAAGGGCCATTACTACTGCTTACACGCTGAAAATATTCTAATAAATTCTAATAAAGTTGCGATGAGTATTTTACGGCTATACTATCTTGTACATTTCGAGTAGACATTCAGACATCAGCGGGAAATTTAAGTTCTAGTTAGCCAGATCGGCGCCGAATATGTCCATGGTTTGCAACAATGAATTTAAAAATCACGCTTTCAATTACGTAACTGAAAGTTTAATTGGTATCGAATACAACAACACACAATGCCGCAACCGCACATGCGGCATTCGGGGATCTCCGATCGGGGCTTCGCCGATTTCCTATGTGTATGTATGGGGAAGTCGGAGTTCGGCGACTTGATCGACGACGAGAACGAGCGCTCGTCTCTATGTTGTTGCTATCAGAGCCCGCATGTATGGATGGAAAGGCGAAGTCCGATCACGAGCGCTCGGTATGCAGAATATTTTTAGCATTTTATTAGTAAACAATTTTGCAAAGAATATTTTTTTGCACGTCAGCGTCCTCCTCATTTGTCTGTGTGTCAGCTCCCGAGGCATCTTGTAGAGAGCTGATGGAGGGCTTTGTCAAGGCCTGGGCGCCATTTTAATTTTTGCCGTTTTGATTTGGTTAGAAGTTTGTTTATGACGTTTCGGCTGAAATTTATAAGTATAAAGATGTTTTTATTAAAGCAAGACCTGCTGAATAGCACGAACATCCTGAAAAAATAAAAATCTCAAGGTGCGTATCCCTTTTAAATTACATGTTTTCTTGTTTTTTAATTGTACCGTATGATCGAAAAAAAATGGCGTCCAGTTGGCTGGGAAATGACGATCGATGACATTTCCCATATAAATTTACATATAAAATGACAGCGATCTTCATTTCCCAGCCACCTGGACGCCGTTTTTTCACGATCATACGGTATTTGTTAGCTAATTGACTCAATTATATAGTACATTAGTTTAATTTGTTGTATGAATGTTTTTAGTGTTTATTTTGACATTGTAATTTATAATAAAAAAAGACATTTTTTAGATAATAAAAACTTTTGAAGATGCCCCGAACTTAAGGGCGAAACGTCAGATGTTTTAAAAAAAACTAAATTTATTATTTATTAACGAACCTAAGCCCAAGAAAATGTGACTTTTGTATAGTTAAGAAATGGTTCAAGAAAACTTACGCAAATATATATAATATAAGTAGATATGTATGTCAAAGTAGGTATGTGACAAATTATATGTAAAAATAACTGTGAACTGTTTTTATATTTTTTTAGCTTTAGACCCAAGGATCAAGGATCTTCCGTATCTCTACTTTTTGGTGATTTTTAGCAATTGAAGGTTGAAGTTATACAAGGTAAATTATGATTATTCAACTATTATTAGCCTACATTAATTATCTGTAAGATGCACACAAATTACATACCACATAGGTACCTATGTATTTTATTAGCAATATTGCAATAAATCCATGTGTGTGTAAGTATTTATCATTATTTTAAAAATACAAATGACATTTTAGATGTATATGTATCATATTTTTTGTTCATTTTATTTTCATCCAAGTCCTGTTTGATTTAATTCATAAAAGTCTTGAATATAGGTATTTATGTGATTTTTTACATAATTTTGTTGTTTTTTTGAATCTAGCTTTTGTGTGGGTTCCTGTTGTCTTTTTCCTGCTTCCAGTTATTGTGTGATGCTGTGAAAACATTTTTATTTATATTCAAGTTTCTATAAATCAATGCACTGTTACTTTACTAAACACAGCATCTCTTATATTTAAATATTTGATATTGATACAGTAGCTTATATCTCTTTAATTGATTTGATTTACATATTTACGTTGTTCTGAAAAATAAATATTTTTGAGTAATTTTGTTATATTAACTACAAGAAAGAGTAAAAAGTATATTAAACGGCATTTAAACTTAATGGGAACCCGCCATTAAAAGCCGGAAACGGAAATAAATTTAATAACATTGAAATTGTCATGTCAAATGTCACAGCCGTCATGTCTGAAAATTAGCTACCCAGGCAGCCACACTATTGCCATGATTTAACATTGACTTGACACTTCTTATATTTATCATTTTATGAGGGCAACTGCCCCACGTTGTCCTAATAGAAATACAAAATATACGAATTATACAGAGACCTCGATATTTCTGAAATTAGGCCATGTTTATTGCCTTAATTGGGAAAACGATAGGGGAACTATGTGCATTTGAATGAAAAAAGTAGAAGTTCTTACTAAACTTAGAATCTAATTCAATTTATTGAAAATATCGAGTATATTATTTTATACTGAGTACAGTTAAATAAGTATGTGAATATACGTAATATTGTAGTCTAGGTACCGTATGATCGAGAAAAAACGGCGTCAGCGATGGCTATGAAATGAAGATCGCTGTTAATTTATATGGGAAATGTCAACGATCGTCATTTCCCAGCCGTTTTTTTATCATACGGTATTTGCAATGTATAATACTGATAACAAAGATAGAATATTATATATTATTACTTATAATAAAAAAAAATTCTACTGTCTACCAGGCGTACAAAAAAGACGGAGTATAAAATTAAAATTATGTCGTTATATGGTGACGTCATAATTACAGTGTTACAATGACTAAAGAATACAAGGACAAATAACACCCCAGACCAAATTGTTACCATGGCTCCAAATAGTGCCGTGGCTACATATTTTTATTTTTATTAACTTAGCTGCTTGAAGAGATACTTATATTTTTCACAAATGTTTTGATTACGCCTATGGTGTTTGCTGCTTTTTTAGGTGGTATCATACTAATTAATTATAAAAAAAACGTAATAAAATGTTAACAAAAGATACGAAACTAGTATCGACGTATAGCACATATCAAGTACATACATAATATCAGAAAAATAATTATCAAATTCAATAAGAAAACGCTAAAAAGTTGGACTGGACTGTCTATTTACCTATGAAACAAAACTTCTGGCTCTTATCGTTGCGGCTTTTACACTTGAAAACTAAACAAATCACCATCGTAATAAAGTTTATACAATATTCACTACACACAAACTATTAAAAATCGCTAAAATTGTCGCTGTTGACGAGCCTGTGACTCATCTGTAGGCTCCAAAATGATGGCGTCTAAACAGCACAAACTCTGCTCCAGCCCGTATATGGGCGTTACGCGTCCTTGTATTCTTTAGCCATTGGAGTGTTATAAGTTTTAACAGCAAAAATATATTTAGGACAATTAGAACTAAAAGAAAAATGTACAAAAAAAACATTTATTTATCAAAAATTAAATCTAAAAACATATTAAAGAATAAACTAACTATAACCGTTTTTTAATACCTAAAAAGATATCACAAATTTTGTTTTACATTCTAAGTATTTATATATTGCTTTAACGTTTTTTATTTATATAAAAATATTAATTATACAATTCAAAAGTTGTTAAATAAACCAATCGAACGTCAAATCACTGTTATTTCACTAGTTATTATTTAGACAGAAATTACTGTATATTTTTATAAATACAGAAAGAAAAAATCGAAGAAATTGTTCATTTTATCTAAATAAATTTAACGACATCAAACTTTGCATTTACATATACAAGATGATATACAGATATCAAAGTAACTAACAACAGAATGTAAATGACAAAGAGGTCACCAATAATAATAAATAAAATTAACGACATACACACTTTCTGTGTATAATTAAAATTATTCTTTTTCTGTTGTCCTTGATTAGAGGTTAGTTACACCATTTTCTTAGCAATACCTGTATTATTTTTACCTACAGGAAATCTTAGTATATCTCATTACTAGATATAATAAGATAATACAAATTGAGATGAGTTAAGATGAATAAAAAGTAAAAAGAACAGTTCAGGGGGGGATTTTATCTCACCTCAAACTCAATTTATGACAAGTAAATAGAACATGCTAGATTTACTGAGACAGTTAAGATGAGTAAGTATCTTAGTTGAACTGAATTTAACACACTTAAAAAGGGTAAAAAGAATACCCCCAATATTGGTCATAATACGCAATATTTCAGCTAAATATTCCTAAATAATACAACATATGACTGATAATATAATAGAAAATAAAATTCAAAAATAAGTATAAATTCTTACATTAAACAAATCATAAAATATTAACGGACAAACTTTATCTCTCATGTAAACTTTCCATTTAAGGCCAGTGTTACAAAATAATGATGTTAGTCTATGAAAATTATAATTAATATTTAGTTTCACTTTGACTTTAACCAATGTGTACTAAAATGCTGTCAATTATTTTGTGGTCAGTGAAAATTAACTTGAGAGTAAATTATCTGTGGGTCGGTCTTTCTTAAATATAGTCTGTTTTAAGGGCACCAAGTTATTAAAATAATGAAAAAAATTAAGACCCGTTTCTGATGTCGAAAGTTCAGAGAGAATTACTATAAAATTAAGATATCTAAGCTAAGGAAATACAGAGAAAAGATCAAAACATATCAGTTCAAACCAGACCTAAATTGAGAATGATGACTTAATATAGGTTATTTTTTGTAGATGCGTCGTATAAAAACATACACTATTAAAATATTTTAAATAATAATTGAAATATCAAATAACATATTTAACTAGATAAATCTATATTATCGACAAGCAAAACACAAAAAATGATCATAGTTTCACATAATTAACGGCATTTTAAAATATAACAGTGTGTAACGGTACCTAATGTAAATGAAGACGTCAAACGGTATTTTGGTAATGGTCATATTTTAGTCATAGCGATTGTAGTTTGTCCAACAAAAGGATCCTTTACAGTGACAGTTGTATCTGTCAGTTTAATTCACAGGCAAGTAAAATTTACTTCATGTCATTTTTAGGATGTCATCTGTCGAAATCTTCCCTAACTTGTTGGACAGCCCTTAGTTGTTTAACATTATCCCGACATGGTAATGTTAAAGTCTGTCTTTACTCGATCTATTACAAAACTAAACATAGGACATCAATCTATTCAGTATCGATCTTATTAAAACTTACGGAATTGACCTCCTAATTAATAATGTGCCTCCAATGCGAAATTATAAATAACAAAATAAACTTTCAAAATAACTTTCTTATCAGAGCTTACTGCAACTCCCATACGTTTTTAACACGAAACTTGGAGTTGGCATCAGGAATAACGTTATTGGCCCTAGGTGGAGTTCGAACAGCAGTACGAGAGTTAGAAGGTTTTTTAAATGTTAACGGGGACCTATTACGGTTTTTAGTAGTGTTCAAACTAGCACTCTTAACACCTACAGTTGAATTTGAAGATGTAGACAAAGAATTAGTGGTGTTATTTGAATTTACAGATGTTGAAGAAATACTCGTAGAGTTTTTTATGGTTTCCTGTCCGGGACTAAATGGAGGTACGACCGAAAACGACAGTTGTTGTATTACAGGAGCCGGGTTTTGATTGTGGGTACTGGTCGCAACTGGCAGAAGAGATGGCATGATATGCACGACAGTGTTCGTTAAAAACGACGTGTTTTGCGACACAATATTCTGCTGATGCGGCATCGCAGGATTCTGTACAGCTCCTGAAATATTCGGATCATTATTGGTAGTAACTGGCGTCAATTGTGTATTAACTTGTGCCGTAATAGGAATCATTCCAATGTCATCAACGTCATTCACTGGAAGCTGATCCCACGACGCCATTTTTCTTCTCGGGATCTCGATCGGTTTAAACATGTACGAAATGCTGAATGATCCGTTATGAATACTTACAGGCACTTTATACACCTTCAGCTGTTCCTTGAGATTCTTAAACGAGCACGTACCCTCGGAATTATGAATTATAACGTTTTTGTTCGAGGGAAGGTCCGTTTGAACCGTCTTTTCCTTGCTCTCTACACATTGAGATTTGGTCAAGTCTATAAGATTCTTTACTAGTTTTACATCAGTGACGTTTGGCGCGAGAAAATTCAAGAGTGAATTGTTTTTGATTCTGACGTCCGGCCTAACTACAGAGGAGTTCTGAACAAAGTTCTCTGTTGCCGCTGCGATGTTTGGGTGAGTTACAGGTTGAACTGAAGTTTCTTCATCGGAAAGAACTATAACATCAACTGAAGCGTCTTTATCCTGTTGTTCGAGAGCGGGAGCTTCTTCCGATGGTTGAAGAGCTTGTTCTGGTTCTTTAGGTTCCTCCGTAGTTTGTTCCACTAAGTTAATTTCTAGTTCTTCCCTTTCCAAGGGCATTAAAGGTGGGAAATCCATGAAAGCATTCTTGTATTTCTCTCGTACCTTCCTATTAAAGTCTATTTTTTCTATCCTCACAACTACGCCAGCGTTCATGATTCTCTTCATGTGACATTCTTGGTCGATATGATTTTGTTTGCTCTCCAATGTTTTAAACTTGAGCTTACAGAACTGGCATACCATGTGTTTACGCGAGTGTCGTTTTAAGTCAAAGACTGTTGAGTGAACGCTACCGCACACACTACAAATGTGTAGAGTTTGAGATTTTAAAGTTGTGACAGTAGGAGTTAGTCCTAAGGACTCAATAAAATCGGGTTTGGCAGTAGAAGCTGCAGTCGTGAACCTATTGCTGGTATCGCTTCCTTCAGGCGACGATATAACAGCTACCTCAGACATAACTTCCGCTGGCTGTTCAACAGATTTTAGTGGTATTACCGGTTGTAATAATTCAGTCTCTTTTATTACATTTTCTACTTGTGCTCGTGTTTCAGTCACTGCGTCTACATGTTCAGAACCAACTTTATCAATCACTTGGTCAGAACATCGTTTTTCTTTATTAGGTGGAGCAAGATGGTCATTCTCTTCTGAAAGGGACCTCTTTTTTTTGTTTTTATCGACAGAAGAACAAACATAGTCGCTACATGAATTTCGTCTGTTATCGCCATCATTTATTTCGAACAATTTCTTGCTGATCTTCAGCGGTGTCACTGTCTTCTGCTTTAGTACCGTGGTTCTCTTTTTCGCCATATTGTTGACTTTGGAGCGAGGCCGATAAATAAACTTGCGCATGTCTAATTTGGCAGATCTAAAATACTGTTCTACCTGGCCCATAGCCAGTGAAACTACCGGAGCCATGTGATCGGCAAAACACTTTTTGGGTAACTTTAAATGAGGATATGTTTTGTATATGTCGGCCACCGAAGAATGAAGTTCCCTTTTTCTTTTCAAATCACTGAAAATTTCAGATTTAGGCAAGGGCGGAGACATCAATTCTTGCTTCATCTGTCTGCCCAAAGCTTTTGGTTCTGTTCTTTCTTTCTTGATCGTGATACACGTATTTGGTAGTTTTATACCCTTAACTAACAGCCTAACACATTTTTCCTAAAAAAATATAACTACAAAAATATAATTTTAAAAATTTAATATGGACAAACCTTTAACTCTCTGTCTTGCTTTAAGGCATCCTGCCTAAATTGAAACATCTTGAGAGTTATGTTGAAACATTTTTCACAAATACTCTTTGAAACCATGTCGGTCTCCGATATCTGTAAAGAAATGGGTCTATAATTTTTTTTTATTGTAGGTACATGTATTAAAAAAATGAAGGACAATAAAGGAGGTAAATAGGCATTACTTCTTCAGTGTATATTTGCAGACTGATTAAATCAAAATTTGCTTAGACATTACCTATTGGAAATCAGTTGATCCCTTTAATTTTTGTACCTTCTTATAGCAGTCACTTAAACTATCAAACTTAATGCAGAGAATAGCATACATGTAGGGGTTAGACCTTATTTTTGCTTTTTGTACTTTGTTTATTCATATTTATAAATTGGTTTTTAGAAACATGAAACAGTTTTTGTTAGAAATATGAAAAGGTTTTAGCATTCAGATTAATATTTAATCAAAATAAAAATATAAATAGACAACAAAAATAAAATTTATTCAAGAAGTATGATTTTAGTAGCAGAATTTCTACCAATAATAATGAAGTTCTATATATAGTAGGTAACGTTGTAGAGTAGAACATCACAAAAAGGCTATGCATTGCAATATAATAACTCTAATTTATTAAAATATTAATCTTATCAATCAATAATTCAAACCTAAACTTACAAATATCAAATTTATTAATACAGTTGATAAGATAAGGACGAACGAATGCGACTTAGTGTATAAAGTTGCGGCTTAGGAATTATATACTTAATAGATATACATAATACATAAATTGTTCAATCCTACATAGAAGAAATGTAATTTAGAGTATAGAACCACTGTTTAGTGGTAAGTTGATCTGATGACTTCAACCAATCTACTCCAACAAAACTATTGCATCATAAACTGTAAATTATTAAATTACTACATACGTACTTTGCATTAAACTAAATACAAATTAAAATGCTATTTTTTAAACACGAAATTGAATTCAGACATTTCATCAAATTCACAAATCACACATTTTCCCAAAATGTTGCTCTTTCAAAAATGATCCTTGAAACCATCGGAACGGAGGCAAATGATAACACCATATTTAGAGTGGCCCATCGTACAAGGGACAAGGGACACCATCATATATGGTCGTTCTTGACAAACAAATATGAAAAAAAGTTTTATACAGATGTTGCATGGTTTATAAAGGTGCATATCTTAAAAATATTTTGTTGTATACAGGCTGTCCGAAAAAAGAGTTATGATAAAGTTTTAAGTTTTTTTTTAAATTGCACCCTCTATTTTTCTGTACATAATTGGATTCAGCATAACATTCTGCATATAGTACCGTATGTTTATTTAAAGCATCATGCGGTGTTGCTATTCTATTACTTATTTACTAAAACTTTGATTAAAAACACTACATCCAAAAAGTGGTTAAAACTGAGGTAAATATATATTTTTTTGTTAGCGGGGAAGCGATTTACCGCCGAAGTGTGGGGTTCGATGCGACAGTACGATACTAGCCGCATAATACCCTCTAGACCCCTCTGCTATGCTAGGTGTGGATGTCGATCGCCGTGAGATGATGCATCCATTCCTACCTTTATTCGTCACTCCACCGACCCTAAATCGCTATAATTTTCCAACTTAATCTCGATTATCACAGACAGGAGCCTATGCAGGACAATCTATATAAACCTACTACGTCTTGCAGCCACTACCTTGTCCACTTCAATAAGAATGTCGAGACACAGCTGGTCAACAGCCTTCCAGCAATGCTCATCACGCAGCATAACAGTGATGAGGTTTCTCTCAGTCATAGGTTCTGTGATGGCTTCCGCTTCTGTCGTTTCAATTCTCAGTGCCGCGTGTCGGTCGCATTCTAAAAGTACGTGCCCGGCATTCGTCCCAAGCTCCGCAGTGGGGAAAGGGAGTTTTTCCGGTGCGATGCCTGCAGGCAGAAAACGTGCCATGTCGACTCCATGACCAGACCATAGACCTAATCTGCGCCAGTAGTCTCCCATGGTCTCTCCAGTAGTCTTCCATCTCCAGTAGTCTCCCACTGTCCAGTAGTGTTTATGTTACCTGTGAAATGTTACTTCTTAGGTGAGTTTCTTCGAGTCGATAGCTTTCCTGCTGCTACAACTGCGTACAGCACACGACGCCATGGTTTTTTATAAATAAAAAACACTCAAATTATCGATTAAAAACATTTAATTTATGGGAAAATTCCCAAAGCACAAATGACACAAAACTACGGCCAATATGGCTGGCTGATACCGTTTTCGCAACAGTTATAGCGCCTCCCCTCTTTTATTCCTCAGTGATTCGAATTCACCCACTACTACGAAGGCTAAGTGGAAGAAAGTGAGAAGAAGTGGTCAAGAAATTGTACAGTAAATTATTAAAAAGAAATAATCGTAATCTATGCGTAATTTACAAAATTACCAACTATTATGGTAACAAACGTACTGTCACTCTACCGGCTGTGTCTATGGAAGGAATTTCAAGAATGCGGCAAACCGACTTTGAAGAGCAGTGCTGTCCCCTATCGGTAAAATAGTTGTGTGATTTTATTGATTTTTTATTGTTTTTCTTCTTAATAAAGTCTTTCATAGATTGAAATGGCTTGGCTTACTCGGTGACCATTCCTTTGTGATCAGGTAGAAGATGTTGCTTGATCATGCACATTGTCGGTTAGCCTTCAGATGCTTCCAATATCCGGATTCTGACGGCGTAGTTCTTCTACGCCCCCAAACTTTTCTTTGAACGTGGCGGCTATCCCTTAGGTTTTCAGAAATCTCGAGCCACACAGTGAGTGAACGAATAATGGGGGGTTGGTTTGGTTTGGTTGCGAGGAAGGAAGAGGTCTCGTTTTTCCTTGGTCATACCGTATAGAACTCTCTCACTGTTACTGTATTGAGCCAAAAAATCGTCAAAGGACATCTACGAATCAGGGGGATCAAGGTGGCAGAATCTCACGGTCCCAACATGATTTTCGAGTTCATCTGGGCATCGATTGAAAATTAATATACTCGGTTTTCTCTTAAGCAGTTTTTTATCCATCCCACGAATAATAACCCACGACGTCTCTGAGGGTTGTTGGAACCTAGTACGGCTATACCAGATTATATGATAGGTATCCTCCATGCTAGGCTTGAATGTCTGCTTCTTCATTCGGTCATTAGCGCTTTAAATATTTAGGCTGATTTGCTGATGGATGTTGATAGACGCCATTCGTTGACGTAGTCTATGGACAATCTTCTACAGCGACATCTTCTCCCGGTCGACAACCAAACTTCAAATCACATGGTAGGCGTTCAAATCACATTCCGCTCCATAACAATGCTGGCTGGAGTTTAAGTGGTGGGGAGCTTGTGAATTCTTCGACGGATGAACGGTAGGCCAGCAGGATCAGGTGAATGAATTTGTCCCAGTGTCTTGGATGATGATACTTTGGTAGATAACGATTGATGGCCTTATTCATGCGTTTAAATATCCCATCGGACTGTGGATGTAGGACAGTCGACTTAGTTTTTCGGATGTTAAAGACTTCGCAGACGCTTTGAAATAGATTGGGGTCGAAGATTCTTCCCTGATCGGAATGAAGCTCCATGGGTACACCAAACCTGCTAGACTCCCGGGAACCTTTTTGGAACGTCAATCTGTTTCCTTTCCTTTCATCTATCTGGTCTTTCGATCACACCACAAATTAGTCCACCATTCACTACCAAGGAATTCCACTGGGCCAAGTAAGCCACTTCACGTTCGGTGAATATCTGAAAATTTCCTCCCATGTTGGCGAGTTTTTCCAGTTAATGTTTAAACTTAATTCCGGATCACTAATTTGGCTCTCTTTTGCAATGGCTTCCTACATGTCCTACAGAGGTAGGGCATGTTGCGGACAGCCGCAATTTCAGCAGCAAATCAGTCCCTTCTTGTCCATGTACGGCCATTCGTCAATGGTCCGTACTCTCGTCAGAGATCTAGAGCTTTTGAGGCAGCGAAACAAAGCTCCTTTTTTAGCCCTGGAGTTTGCTCCAAGACATGTGCCAAGGTATCTACCAAATGCGATGAGTGAGGTAGAAAGAGTGCGTGCCTTGCCTCGATGTCATGTAAACCATTGGAGAACTTTTGTACTGCTAAGCGCTCCATGAAAAAGAGGACTTCGAACTCCTGCAGGGACTCATTGGGCTTCTGAATGTCGCTGAAGTTGTTGATAATCTCCTTCTTCTGTTGGTGAAAGTGTCTGCAGTATGTCAGTTCAGCCGTTCGCTTTCGTAGCAGCTTCAAATTGTTAAAAATAGTTGGCCCAAGCATTTTTTCCATCAAACAGTTGGGTTCAGTTGGTTTCGTATCGCTGTTGTTTTGGATTTTTGACATCGTCCTTTTTCTAAATTTTCCATCACCATTTCATCCTTTAAAATTTCGATCTTTCTGTTTACATCCTCCTCAATTTGTGATATTTTATTGTTTAAACTTTCTTCCGAATTAATTATTTTATTATTTAAGCTGGCCTGTATATTCTTAGAATTTTCTATGATCTTCCAAAATACCGATATTTTCTATGATTTTATTATTTAACTGTCCTCCTCGTTAACTATTTTATTATTCAATTTATATGGAAACTATCATGGGAATTTTCCACAATTTTATCTTCTAATTTTTATGACGAGTCAAGATCACCTTCTAACTGAAAGAAAAATGTGTCGGTATCACCTTCTTCTATTAGAACGTATCTTAGTGTTACCTGTAGAACACTTTTCTTGCCGTCCATATCCGTATCACATCTCTCTACGAACCTATTATCTTCTCCAATATACGTTATAACCAGCCTGCGTCCTTCCCCGAAAGGGATTTTCGGTAAGTCAATAATTCTTCAAAAACGCTTCACGAGATCTCCCAATGCTATTGTCTTGCCAGATTTTCTTAGCAGAATGTCCTTCATTCAGCCATGTTTCGTCTAGGTAGAAGATGATTTTCCTTCCCTGCGATATATACGAATGCCCTTTAGATATTGCCTTCTCAAAAAAAATATATCTTCTTTGTCAATGAGTACAGACTTCGTACCGGTCATACTTTTCTCACGAGAAGTTCATTTTCTTTAAAGTTGTCCAAAGTTCTTTTTTCCATGACCGGCAAGTTTTTGTCTTCATTTACAACTTTCTGAATTTTATCGAAAGTTGTTATTTCCTTGTTTGACTAGTAAAAGGCGTGCACATGTCTCCTTATTATGCTCCTAGAATAGTCATCAACAACCAATGGCTTCCTCCCCGTAGATGTTTTGGGATTACAAACAGTTTTTCTCTTTTTTAGAACTCTATAAATCGTAGCTTCACCAACTCCCGTAATATTTGAACATTTCACTCGATTAATGAAATAACCGACATCACTCGATTATGAACGAGCGATGCGAGTGACGAGTTACGAGCGACAAACGCAAGCGATCCTAGAATGAAATAAATTGAAATCCGATATGTGACATACTCGATACAAAGCCGAATGAATTTCCTACATACATTGCAGGTAGCAAACTTATACGACGTTATCCGTTCTGAGTGACAAAATTTTCCGACCTACATCGGCAATGCTTTAAAATAAACTAAATCAACCCAATTACTCGTCGTCTGCTACTTGCCATTCATCATCGAAAGAATATGTGGTCTGCGCACGCAACTAACACATAACTGCTTGGCGTTACGAGTACAAGTGACGGACGAAAAACCGTATTTATAAATACGAGCCAAATTTCGCTCGAGCGATCGCTCGGTTATTGAAATCGCTTGAAACTCGAGTACTCGATTATTGAAATTAATCGGTTTATCCCATCACTAATCTTGATGCACATCAATCATGAACATTTAACAGTATAGTTTTCGCTCTTAAATCAAGAATACCATTTATTTTGCTTGGAATAAATATATCTATGTTAGCAAATCAACACCGCAAGGTAGACACAGAGATACTGAATACACGTAATTTTTGGGTATAAATGTATTTTTACAGGTACAAATTGGTGGGGTTCATAACCATAAAATGATTAGGCAGCTTTATACTACAGAATAACTATCATACAGAACGATCAGTCAACGTATAGCGTTTTTTAAAACACTACCACTGCGAACGGCAGCTTTTCATCGGAGAGCAGTCTTGGATACTGTATTTCACTGGAGAAAAACTAATTAATAATAATAAATCAAAAATATAAATATTAGGCGCACAGAGAAAGAAAACACAGCTGTATATTATTTAAAACTAATGACTATATTCATTCATGGACTCTGTTGATAGTAAATGACATTGTTGTAAGTTGGGTCAATCCAAAACTCTACCCCGTTGCTTCGAAATAGCAGCTGATTCAGATTATGCAGCAAGATTTAAATAATTACCATTTCTAAAAGCCGGGTTGCTGCTGGCGACGGCGACAAAAACAAAAGTGAGGTTAAAGCTCAGAAAGACGCCTTGAAACTATGTTGACAGCCCTCCACATAAGCAGTGAAACGGTAACAGAGTTGTCGACTTGAGAACGTTAGAACTACGTCAAGCGTTTCAAATAAGTTATCAGGCCTGAACGATACAGAACCCGGTGACGATACGCCAGACATCATATATTATATATAAAAGACATGCAACGAATCAAAAACGTTACAAACGTAATAAAAAACGAAATTTTTTTGCTGCAATCTATTGCGGGCTCATTCAAAGGCAAAACAATTAATTTTGTTAAATAAAATTGCCGGCCGATGGAATGTAAAAGTTGTAGCGCCTATGGTTTATGATGTTTTATGGCACCAGCTCTTCTCGCTGTGCTATCAGGCTTTTTGAAACATACTATAAATGTAATTTATTAATTAATTTTTTCACTTCAAATCAATAATAAAATATAGTGATCACTACCGCTTTACGGATTATTGAAAAACTTCACAAGATGACCTCCCAGAGTTTCCATTCAATTAAACAAAATAGCACGCAAAGTATTAGAAACTAATAAAATACACCGATTACTATTATTTATTTCAACGGTCCTCGTATCTGTAACGAAATTGTGACGTAGCAGCTACCTTTGACCGAAGGTAAAAACATTTTATTAAAAAAAAGATCATTAACAGAGTATAAAATATATCTTCAAATCATTTCACAACACACCTTTTTGTTGCACGTGCTGATTAAAATTTCGAAACTTATTAATCACTACCGATATCACAAAATGGTAAAGCATCACTTGATATTCCGTTTCACAAACCACTTCCTGATATTAAAATATTGTGTTCACCATTTATAATTTTTATAACACTCGTGTAACCAGCAAAATACAGCGACGCACGTTGTTCCCATTTAATTTAACAAAATAACACATATTTATTACACACATTATTATTATAAAATTTTAATTAAACAAACTGAATACTTATAAAATAAATATTTACATATCATTTCATAATATTTTAATCCTCGGTTTAAAATTCAAAACTTAGCGGCCATCACAGACATCACAAAACGGCGGATTATTTAATACGTCACACTCAAGAAAATAAAATTCTGTGAAGTCTATATTTTTAAAATCACATTATTTATAAATAACACTAGATAGTGACGTTGTCTTATCATTTAGTTTTAATAAATTTAACAGTTAACATATTCACAAAGTATTCCATAGTATTTTATTACAACTGGTTAAAAATTCAAAATTTATCAATCACTGGTAAGAATACGGTAATTTATACATCACAAAATGGCGAAACATCAATAAGGCTTATATCGGGGTTTTCTTATTACAGTTTCTGAACAGTTCTAGAACAGTGACGCACGTGCGTAGAAAAAATGTGGGCAATTTTTATTATGCGCATGCGCTAAAGTGTTTTGGACTGTTTCATATCCAGTAATATCAAAAACCAAAAGTAAGTTATTATGCCAAACAAACCAATTCAATATACAAAATTACGATGATACAATTCAAATTTATTTTGGAAAAAAAAAACAAATTTGATATTTCCTATCATACTATTAAATATAAACTATTCCAAAATACAAAAATCACTATTCATTGATTGTTGAACGATCCCTATACAACAGTATTCGCAAAATGGCGAATGTAAGTCTCTTAAACACAATAAAGTACACCGATTACTAATATATTTTTAGGTGGTCCTCGTATAAGCAGCACAAGATGGGGACGGACGTAGCGATTTCATTTGATTTAAGAATTTACCGACACGTTTTGTTACAATGAAAAATATAAATATAATAACACATCATTTCATATATTTTATTTTACTTACCTAAGAATTGGTTTAAACTATCTGAACTTAGCAATCACTACTAATAAATTTATTAAAAAAAACAACAAAATAGCGACATAATATTTTCACTTAAAACAATTTCACTTTCTTGTGAAAACGAAAATATAAATTTTCAATCAAAATTCACAAAAACTTATTCAAAAACATAATCCTCTCTACTGTATTTTTTCACTAGTAATCGTATATACATCACAAAATGGCGTCACAATGCATTCAATTCTAATTTAATAAAATAAGTAGGTATTCTATATTTTTAACAAATTAAAATAATTATACGGTAAAAAATAAAAATATATTTCCAGATTTCCTATCATTCTATTAAATATAAAATATTCCATAAAAAATAAAATAAAAATACAAAAATCTATCAATTACTACTTATTGATTTTTTGAACGATCCCTGTACAACAGTGCTCACATAATGGCAAACATAAGTCACTAAAACATAATAAAGTACACCGATCACTAATATATTTTTGGACGGTCCTCGTATAAGCATCACAAGATGGAGACGTTATTTTTGCATTACAAAATGGCGTCACAAATGCATTCGCTTCTTATTTAATAAAATAAGTAGGGGTATCCTATATTTTTTAAAAATTAAAATAATTATATGTTAAGGTATTCTATTTTACTTACTTAAGAATTGGTTTAAAATATCTAAACTTATTAATCACTACTAATATAATTACTTAGAAAATAGCCACATAATATTTTCACTTAACACTACCTGCCACCTTTTGCAAAAACTAAAATGTAAAATATACATACCTAATTTATATAACACAAACTTACTCCGAAACATAATCCCCTCTACTATATTATTTCACTGGTAAACACGAAAGTTTACACAAAAAGTTCACAACTTATTTAATAAAGTTATATTGTTAACAAATTAAAATAATTATGTGTTGAAAAATACAAATAAATATTTCCACATTTTCTATCATTCTATTAAATAAAAACTATACTAAAATACAAAAATCTATCGATTACTATTCATTGATTTTTTGAACGATCCCTGTACAATAGTGTTCACAAAATGACGGTGCTTCAATCACAATTTACTTAATAGAAAAAGATTAAGCTATATTTCGACTACATAAAACAAAAAACTTAGGCAAAATATAAAGTAATTACGCAATATTTCATAACATTTTATTGTTATATAGGTATTAACTATAATAGTACCTAAGCAATACTGTCGATGAGTCATACTAAAACAAAATGGCGGTACTCACCTCAATTCCAGTTGTAATCAGAATCACTTCCCTCATATTATACGTCGCAGAGAGTCCTCCATCGAATATATTCAACAATCCGTGAGTGCTGGGGCACAAACGGCACACTTCAGTCAATTCCGTACTATTCATAATGAAGTAATATAACAGAAAATTAAAATAACAAAGCTAGTGGCGCGCGCAAACCACGCCAGCAACTGCTCGCAGCGGAATGAGGGACATCAACTCTCCGATTTACTTTTTATTTCTGCCAACGTTAGCCATTCGGCCTTGGTCGGATGTTTCCGTTGTTGCTATGGTGCGATTGAGAATTAACGGTTACAGAATGAATCGGAGCCTTGCCTGCTTGGAAACGTTGAAATCGTTTCGAAACTAAGTAGGTTTAATATTCATTTTACATACTGGGGATAATTTTTGTTGCCTGGTGTACTGTATGATTAATTTTCATAATTTAAAAATGCATTTTGAATTTATTTATTTCATATGTTTTTATTAACAGAATAAATAGGTATGATAGTAGGTACAAATTTTGTTTTATGAGAATTTTTCGGTTGTTAGTTTGAATACATAAGTAGTTTGTTTGTTAGAAGTAAGGTTTTTTTTCCTTTTACAAAATGTATTTTAGATTTATAAGTATGTATTAGAATCAATAGAATCTTTTTGAAAATCCCAATTTTATATTAATGCTTATTTTGATTGATATTTTCTTTTCTTTTTATGGATACAGAGCATAGGTTTACTTGGTTCTAAAAAAATCGACAAAATTAAAATAAAATAACGAAATTTTCATGACTATAGATAACGATAAATTTATAGCGTATATACCGGGTGCGTCTCAAAAGTGGCTCACCGCTATAACTTTTTTTATTTTTCCAGATAAAAAAACGAAATTTGGTATGTTAGTATATGACATACATTAGGATTAATTGACGTATTCAATTGTTTTTGGTCACTTCCTGTTTCACCGGAAATCATTAAAACTTTTGATTTTTAAATTGTACCCTAGGTATTTTTCTACTTTGTTCGATAGTAAATGACACCCTGAATGAAATGACATATCATATGTAAACTTTTGACATTTTCGCACATGGTTTATTTGAAATTGTAACATGCTGTTCATAACGATAATTTGACTCGAAATACCAAGTGTGTGGTACCAAATTATTCGTAAAAAATGCTTTTTATCCAAATATGGTAATGAGCCACCCTCATTCCATTTGAAAAAATTGCGATATGATTTAAAATATATACCTACGATTTGGGCATCTTGTAACCGGCCAGGACAAGATACGAAAAACATTAGACGATCAAATCTATTTTTCCAAGGCTACTTGATTAAAAATTAGTGTTTTTAACACAGCCATGGTACTCTAGATTTAAACTTAATAAAAGATTTTTTTTTAAAGCGAAAAGGGTGTCATTTTCTATCGAATAAAGTAGAATTTTTGTTTTTGTTTCTGAATTGTTCCCTCGGTGCCATTTAAAAATCAAAAGTTATAGTCATTTCCGGTGAAACAGGAAGTGACTAAAAACAATTGAAAACGTCAATCAATCCTAATTTATGTCATATACCAAAATACCAAATCTCTTTTTTCATCTGAAAAAATAAAAAAAGAAATCTCGGTTACTTTGGACTTATTTGAAAAACGATAAAGAGATAGTATGTTTCTTTTATCGAGGTCTACCAGTCCTGAAAATATTTTCACTTATTTAAGACTCATCTTGTACATTATAAAAAAAAGTACAAACTATTGAAAGTTTTTGTTGATACATTCCAGGTAAGTGTTTTTTCTAGCGATGGGAACTATCGAATGAATTAGACTATCGAATGGTTACTGAATGAATGATTTCTATCGAATGTTTTATTCGAATAAAATCATTCATTCATTTGTATACTAAAGCATATGTGACAACCTCGCCGTGCGACTAAATGGTTATCGTTGAGCCACGACTATCGAATGCTTTTGATAAATGAAATTTAGCATTCGTTTGATTTTTGTGTGCGTCAGTGCATTATTAGTTCTTTCAAATTTTTATAATTTCACCTTATAAATACTGTGCTATTTTTGCGTTTATTAAAATATTTAAAATACTAAAATAGTGGTTTTCAGATTGTGTGCGTGTGCAGGTGTCAAAATTTTTCCGAAAATTTGTGTGATTTTCCGTAACCCGATCTTTCAATTATTTTATTTTATATGGTATATATGGTCCATTTTTTAATGGGAAATTTTGAGAAGTAGCAATTTTTAAGAGAGATGAGATGAACTTAGAATTAATTTTAAAAATACATATTTGTATTTTAGATGTTTTAATAATACGAATTAGTTGAACTTAATAATCATATTTAAGTAATGTGGTTAAGTAAATGGGGGGGGGGGGTTATCGAACTCAAACTATGGGGTGAGAATTTTTTATTTATATTTTCCTTCCATTACACTGCATGCTTAGAAAATTAATAAATGTGTATATTTCATGATTTTAAAGTTTGTTAATATAACAAATTAGTTCTGTAATTATTATTATTTAATAAACCAACGTTACAACGTTGTTTGTTTAATTTATATTAAATTATTTTTGAAATATTTATAGATATCAATGATAGAGTAAACGAAATTAAAGACAAAAAACTCTTGATATTTAAAAATATTTCTTTGCATATGCTTTTTGCTTTTGTTTGTTTAGTTATTTATTATTAATTAATTGATATTTAATATACAGGGTGAACAGATTAGTGCGAGGAAGTTTAATATTGTTTTTATTGACAAATAATACGAAAAAGTTTTATAGAATTGAAGGGATGGCTGCAATAACCAGGCAGCTCCATTTTAATAAATTTGTGGGAAATCGAAAAAGAGCTGCAAACTCAGAGCAAGGCAGCTCCAACTAACGTCGCCATTATTTATGTACTGTTATTTTGAGAGAACAGATGGTTGCAGGAAACGATCGGCCAATTTTCATTAAAAACCTCATTTTTGAAAAAAAGTGGAGCTGCCTGGTTATTGCAGCCACCCCTTCAATTGTCGTATGGTAATAAGTGCATATCCTAAAAATATTTTGTTGTATTATACCGGGTGCGTCTCAAAAGTGGCTCACCCCTAGAACTTTTTATTTTTTTTAGATAAAAAAACGAGATTTGGTATGTTAGTATATGACACAAATTAGGATTGATTGACGTACTCAATTGTTTTTGGCCAGTTTCCTGTTTCGCTGGAAATGATTACAACTTTTGATTTTTAAATAGCACCCTCGGTATTTTTGTACTTTATTCGATAGAAAATGACATTCTGAATAGAATGACATATCATTTGTCAACTTTTGACATTCTTGCTTAATAAAAAATCGTATTTTAAAATTCAATCTAGAGTGCCATGGCTATGTTAAAAACACTAATTCTTAATAAAGGAGCCTTGGAAAAATAGATTTGATTGTCTAATGTTTTTAGTGTCTTGTCCTGGCCAGTTAGAAAATGCCAAAATCGTATTTTCTATCATATCTCAATTTTTTCAAATGGAACGAGGGTGGCTCATTAGCATATTTGGAAAAAGCATTTTTTTACGAATAATTTGATACCACACACTTGGTATTTCGAGTCAAATTTTCGTTACAAACGGCAAGTTATAATTTCAAATTAACCATATGAGAAAATGTCAAAAGTTGACATATGCTATGTCACTCTATTCAGAATGTCATTTTCTATCGAATAAAGTAAAAAAAATCCGAGGATGTCATTTAAAAATCAAAAATTTTAGTCATTTCCGGTGAAACAGGAAGTGACCGAAAACAATTGAATACGTCAATCAAACCTAGTTTATGTCATATACTAACATACGAAATCTCGTTTTTTTACTGAAAAAATAAAAAAGTTATAGGGGTGAGCCACTTTTGAGACGCACCCGATATAGGGTGTCCTGAAAAAAGTTATGAAAAAGTTGTAAGTTTTATTAGATTGTAGTCCCTATTTTTCTGTACAGATTTGGGTTGAGCATAAAATTCACTATATTTATTTAAAGCACTATGCGGTGTTGCCATGCTATTTCTTATTTATTAATTAATTAAGTAAAGTCTGGAATAAATATTACTTTATTAATACTTACCTATGATTTCCTAAAAACAATAAAGGATAACAAAATAATCGTCAAAATGTAGCAATACTTTAAGAATGTAGAATGTTTAGGAGGGGGGTTAATCAGTCCTAACTCTTCATACAGTCTCGGGGGGAGTACAAGCAATTTTCCCAACTTCCTACTTTTTTTAGAGGCCATAATACATGTAATAATGTATCGTGATAGGAATAAAAACCCTAGTTTAAAAAAAAAATTGTTTTATTAATTTAAAACTTAAATTTAACATTATTGAACATTATAACATGCATAAATAATTATTGTTATGACAACTCTAAAATTAAAATAAAATCGTGCCATCCTTAATATTTTTAATTTGGGATTTAGACGTCGCATTGTCATGACTAATTTCCCAACTCAATTATACATTAGGGGGGAGGGGGGATGAGCATACCTCCCAACACCCCCCATAGCTTTACCACTGGTAGGCGTTTATGAAAAAAGTTGTATCTTGGGTTGGAACTGTATTTTTCAGTATTAGTTACTCATTTTACTACAGCTGTAATAGATTATATTTAGTTTAGTTATATTATCATCATATTTTAGTAGTATACATGAAAGTTTTTAAAATAGTAATATATTACTTATTTTTCTATACACATTTTCCTACAAACGTAAAAAACCGGCAATACTGTATGCCTCTTTTGATTTGGTCTCTCTGTCTGCCAACCGGTCATTTATATTAGTCTCTGTCACACTCATTAATTTACCTGTCCAGATTACATAAATTAGATGACCAGCAGGGTATAGTATTAAAAATATTGCAGTGTTGACCACCCCATAAAAGTACTCTGTATAAGACAGATAATGAGTATCCTTAATGTGGATTTGCCTCTACATACTTATTCTGTTATACTCGGTGTCGAGCTCGGTGTTTAGGAAAATATAGATATGTAAGTATTAATAAATTTTAATTACCCCAGGTTTTTACCACTTTTCTGGTATACTATTTTAGCCAAAGTTTCAGCAAATAAGAAATAGAAAGGCAACAGCGCATAGTGCGAGAAATAAAAATAGTATGGTATATGCAGAATTTTATGTTGAACCCAATTATGTACTGATATAAATGGTGGTTACAATTTAAAAAAATAAGCATTATCAA